CCACTACTCAACCACACACAAATTCACCATAACAAGAGTAAGTTCGATGATCGGATAGTTGAACAAACAACCGTGTGATCACAGGAAATGCGATTTCCCGTCCCTTGATGAAATAGATCCTACTAATGTGCAAAGTGATTTGTATTTTGTTTTCTATTCTCCTGAGCCGATGTTATTCCTAATTATTGAGTGATATGTATTGTGATTTGTTGCGAATCTGAGAAAAGGTGTATACTTGTCACCTCGTTGTTGTTTTGCTTAAAATATGCTCTGTTGGACTCCCCAGACGTTTCACGGGTTATCTAATGTATCAACAATAAATGGATAATATCGCCTATCAGACTTTTCCAGATTGCAATGAGTGTTTAATGTATTGCTACATTGTTGGCACTCTGACAGTGAATTTTTGATAATATTCAATCATAAATATTTAAAACAATGAAGCGTAGAGGAGTATTTCCTGAATAATAAGTATTCTTACATCAGACCTTTTATGTATCACACAGTGTAGCTGACATGCGTTCTAACGGAGGATTTTGAGTGCACACTAAAAAACGAACTGACTACTGTGAAGCAAATGACGTCTACCATTTACTATTTGTTATTCCGGCCGATTTTGATGAAACTTACGATGGGTGAATCAGAGCACATTTGGGCACAATGAGTTCACAAATACAGGTATTTATGGAAGTCTTGCGACATGACTCTCAATTCGTAAACACATTTCCGTTTCCAATAGTATACCTGTACATCGATAGCCATGGGTGAAAAGCGTTTAGTTCAAACCCTTGGGTCCCACTAAATTATTTTCAATTTCCTTATTTCACCGTTTGAATTTGCAACTGATGCACCAACAATTATCGTCAAAGTCAAGAAATCTTACTTTTCAAAGTTTTTAACTAATAGAGGCTACAATATAAGTGGGTATTATTACTACAGACATGTTGTGTCTGATGTGGGACAATATCATCTTCCATCCGGTGAACAAGGCTCAAGACATCAAGTATTGGAGGTAGAAATCTCACCAAAATCAGGGTGTCGCACGCGTTTGATCGGTACCTGTATGTCCTGGTTGTTTCGCATAAGAAATCGGTGTGTTTTGACTCCATACTCCCGATGCCTACGCAAAATTCAGGACGCCGCAATGATTGCGGTACTGCAATTATATATTTGAGTTGCAGCTTAATGAAGAGCTTAGACAGATATTCGGATTGCAGTTTACCCGCTTAGAGTGCTTCGTCATTCGATGTTTTCAGAGCTACGAAGACTATCTCTGACATCCTGTCACCTGCGGATTGGTAAAATCACATGATTTTCCCTTCAGCATTATGATCATTGATTTTCCATCGCTTTAACATGATGCTCACAATCGACCTTTCTTGTAAGAAAACACTAAGTCGAAACTGGATTTGACTTCGAACCCCTTCATGAGATTGCCCATGAACGGTTCCCTCCTCACCTCGACACCCTAAGAGTTCCCCGGAGTCCTTTGTTTTGATCTCGTAACCTAAACTAAAGTACAAGGTTTTTCACTTTGTCTGTTCGTCCGGTTCCCCTGATCTCAACAACTTTTATTCAAACGATCACCGACGGTAAATGACATTGCAATTATCCGTCTGACACGGTATAACATGACCTAAGTTAGTCCAACTCCCAAATATCTCTTGAAATCTGATGCTAATCTTTGGTTTTACTGTCATTATTTTTTATTATTTACCCTTTTTCTCTTTGATTCTTCTGATCTACGCTGCTCAAATACTGGTCGGTCCGTTACTTTCTTCGATGAAACGTGTGATTCCTGGTGGTGGGTTCTGCAGTGGCAGGTGTTTTAACTGTTCGCCTGTGTGTTTCATATCGTTTGGAATGAGAAAAGGTCAATTGGATTTATCTGCGAATATGTCTCTCCCAGAATGTGAGCTTGTGTGTATGTGTGTGCATCGTTGCACTGCAGTATAAGCAAGTGTCGTACCGGCAGTATACTTCATCTCTTTCTCGATGTGTGTATGTGGTCATTAAACGATATCGATAATCTGCAAGTTGATCGTGAACGAGGGTGCTTCGACGAGCGTCCTTTTATTGTGGAATCATGTGTGAGTTTATAGCTGTATCTGCACTCTTCTGTTCTCACTGTATAGTGCGCGTCGGAAAGATGTCTCCTTTAGTGATGCATCCACCCGGAATTCCCGTTCAATCGGTACGTGTTAAGGGGAAGTAAGAGGGTATAAACAATTTTGCAGTGGGACGCAGTTGCAACTACGTTGGTAGACATTGGTTGATCCAAGAGACAATATGTATTTTTAGGGTGACAGTAGAATAATTTCACTGAAAGCAAGGAAGCAGTACGCTTCTAAGGGGGTGGCGAGAGGTTTGTTTGGGTGTATAATCCTGTGTAATCCGACATCCTGTCTTATAGGATTTTTGTGGGCAACAACGTGTCAATGAATTGATTCAACTTAACAAGCTGAGATAGAGTCAAATAGGGCAGCACTGGGAACGAGATCAACGGGTTGCGTTTGTGTGTGTGAGGAGAGGGAGTACAAAATGGAAACGAAAAGTTGAACGAATGGGTGAGTTTCTTATAGTTGCATTACCTTCCGAAGGTTTCAAGTGGGGCAAAATAAGTACGAGTAAGATTTGTTGTATCCGATGAAAACGAATGAGCAACACACGGATAGACCGCAGCACTAAACTGTTGTTAGGGGTTGAGGTTCTTGATTCGAGGAGTAGTTTATACCTTCCTCCCAATGCCATTTGTAGAGATGAAATTTAGTTACACGCATGTGTCTATGCGATGAAAAACACAATCGATAGGTGGCGGAAGCAACGATATGAATTAATGAAAAACAGGAGTGAAATTAGGACTTGATGGAAGTCGAGGGGCAATTGAAAAAATGATGGGAGACAAGTCTGCACACCGTTTATGTATCTTCTTTCTGTACCGTTGCGAAATGGACGGATATTCTTGTGAAATTTTGAATCACAGAATGAACGGCTGTTCATTTTTGTTATGAAAGATATTAAGTTGGGGTGGTGGTAATGATGATGATAGTGATTATCACGGGAATTTTGTTTGTAAGAATCACAAATATATCCTGTTGTTATCATCATCATCGTCATCGTCATCATCATCATTGGTCAGAACATGAAAATACCCTTGGGAAAAATGTCAGTGTCACCACCGTGTTGAGAAGTTGCTGCATTCGTTTAAGCAGATAAAACCAATTGAATACAACACATAACAACCAGATAAGAGGGGTGGAGGCAGAAGAGAAACGGGAACACATGACTGGCTGTAATGAAGCTTGTACGGGTGAGAGGGAAAAGTGCGTTCATTCCAGTTCGATCGACGAAGTGATCTACGGGGAAAAATGCTGTGAACAAGGTCGTGGAATAGGTGGTAAATCAATCTAGAGGAAGCGGGTGGACCGTCTGCAGGATAGAAATAAACCGATAAAAATAAAGCACAGGATAACAGGATTCAGTGATTCACACGAAGAAAGAATATGTGACACGTTGCTTTTGAGGTTGTGCAATGAGTCGAAGATTATCAACTGAGTCTTCCGCATAGATATTCTTTTGGATTCGGGACCAAAGAAGGTATGAGATACTTGAGGGTGACACGGCTGTACAACCGACAGATTTACATAACCAGAGCAGAGAAGAGAGGGCCCCATGAAACACTGAAATTCACGTGCGACTTAGCTGAAAATATTGTAGTTCGGAAACATAGTACATGCAAGCATCAGTTAGGACTTATGCAAAACAACGAAGTGAGAAAAACTCGCTATCGGTGATGCTTCAGAGCAGTTTGGGCACTCGGTGATTGTATCGGAGGAATGCGACGAACCAAACAAAAAGCGTTTCGGTCTATCCCTATGAACGGTTCCTACACGCGAGTGCTTATGCACGCTCACATGGATCCAGTTCCATGCACAACATCGGCAGCAGCAACAGCCAGAACAGAAACAACAACTACAGATTCATCTAGACCGGTAACGGTAAGCAATGGACGAAGGATGAAACGCTGACGGGAGAATAAAAATAATTGTGACAAACTATGACAGTCCAAACAAGCCCCCATCCGTATCACCCCTATCGATGTGACAAAACTCCAAAATATTCTCACAAGTATTGAAATTTTTGGATTTTACTGTTTTGCGGTTTGAATAGTCACTTTTGGTGGAAATTAAACATCCTGGACGAGGTGGGAGTGAACGCATGAGTTTGGGAGCTCAGAGGGAAGGGAAAGTGGTATGAGACTTTCGATCAACACTTAGCCTGAATAAGAGAGTAGAGCAGGATCGAAGCATAGAAGAACTCCGACGAGCAATTTGGTGTGAACCGTGTGCGTCGACATTTCGCAAGTGTCTGTGTATATAGATGTGTGCATGTATTTGTCGGTCGAATACTTGATTTGTTTTGAGCTAAAACAAAATTATTAGCTGTTACTGATCGAGGATAAATGTTCTCTACGTCGAAGTAGCAGTATCAACAGAAGTTGGCTGAACTGGGTTCTGGAGTTCGAGGAATAAATGGTTGCGGCTTTTGGCAAATTGAAAGAGATTTGTAGGGAGGTGTTTAGAGACTCGGAAACAAGAGAGCGCGTTTATTTGTGTGTTGAGGTGGGAGGGTGGGTGATGGAGTTTGTGTGTGCGTGTGTGTGTGTTGGGGTCGCATTATTGATGCTCGCTGGTACCGTTGACTAGGGAGAGTGTTTAGGTGGGCAAGTTTTCGGCATAAAACAAATACCTTCCACATGCTGAGAAGACCACATATTAGTATGAACTTCCAATTTCTGTTGTTGATTCAAGACACCTCTCGATTTTGTTTGACCCCATCAATCCTTGAAAGCAATTTGCAATATTTTCTGCTCGCAAATACGTGTGTATTCGTGACACAGGGTGCGTCGACTTCGGCGGGGATGGAGGGAGATAGAGATGCCTTCGTTCATGAATGTGCACAAGTGCTTGTGCGATGCGATTTCTTCCTGTACAAAACCTTTAGGAGGCATTCGCCTGTTCCTCATCGTTTTCCTCCGCTGTTGCCAGCTTTGGTCTACCTTTGGTCGAACCGGAAGCTCGTGCATTCTCCGCTTGCGATTCGTACCAGTCTCTATTGTCTGCCAATGTGTCTAGAATCAGTTGAGCAGATGGGTGAACCAGATCACACCAGGATTCCAATAAAGGATGTGCGACGAAATCAATAAATGAAACCTGTGAGGAAAAATAAAACAGAAAAAAATCAGCGAAGCATACGGGACAATTGGTGTGAAACAAAAATATAGGTTGTCAATTCGTCATACTTGACGCTCATGAATTTTTAGAAAATGGATGGCGGTTGGTTATTTGGTAGATGTGGTCACATCGAACTGACTCACCTGACTACTTGAATAACACCGTCATTTTGCATCACGATAAGTAGCTGTTTGTTTCTCAGTTTTAAAGAAAACTGAGGTGTATCTAAGCATTGAGTGAATGTTTTTGCATGCTCAGTTGTATGTGCAAAAGGAAGTTGCAATTTCAAAACTTCTCAAAGCGCAAATAAACCTAAGATAAGAAAACAATTTTAAAATCCAACCTCTTGGGGTTTTGCTTAGAAGCGTGATGCAGTGCGACAAAACAAAGGAAAACATCCGACATTAGTTTCCTCTGGTGGGGGTTACTTTTCACTGGAAGTGCACATCGCCTGATAAATATCATACTCCAACGTCGATAAGTGGCGGTCAGATTTCTGTTTCACAAGTTTATAACCCCCACCCTCTCTCCTTACTTTGCACCAATAACACGAAAGGGACAAGAGATCGATTGCAGGAAATTGCATGGGCTTTGGAAATTGTGTAAGAGAAAGAAAACGTAGCCGAACGCTAGGTTGATTGATAGAATAATAAAATATAAGGTAGGATATTCATCAAAATAATAATAATAATAATAATAATAATTAAATAATAATAATAATAAAGTATTGAGATCAACAAATGAAAGCTAAAATCGCTTGCACTCCGTATATATACGCCCAGGCTTTTATTCGACTGTTTCAGTGAAAGTGCTAAATTTGTTGCGTTTGTTTGGAAGGAAATACTTTTTTTACAATTTTTTTAAAACAGACTTCACGGTTCTTTAACGGGTTCCGGAATATCAACTGATATTTTCGTCTAGTTAACTGCGGGTGGAGTGTTTGCATCGTCAAGTTGGAGATATAAACAATATGGAGGAAAACGAGTCTATGAACGGAGGATGAATCAAACCGAGAAAATGTCAATTTATTCACGAAATTATATGGTTACCACGCCCTTGAATGTACACTGTCACGAATTAAAAAGTTAATCCATAGGAAAGTGATTTGACCTGCATTATCAGAGTGTTCCACATAAACCCAACTGGTTCATTCTCATCCGGAATGGCCAGAAATGAAATTTTGCAGACCTTTTGACAACCTGAATCAGGACATACTTTATGCTACCAGGCACCCAGGTGGCGCCAGCGATCAATTTCACACCTATTCAGCGTGCGTTGGCAGGCTCATATCCCTGCCATTGGGGATTGACGTTCATAACCACCAGATGCGCTCCATCCTAACTGTGAGCCACTTATCGTGTTACCTTATTCATTTAAGTAGTACTGATTGGGACGACTAGGAAATAAGTTATTCGGAAATCTGTGCCACACATACTGACAGAAAGCCTTACCCGTGGCACACACCTATTCCATTCTTGTTAGGGCTTGGAAGAAGTGCGTACCAGCAGAGAAATTCACCGACCTGTTAAAAACGTGTCCCAGGCAAATCTGACTAGCATAAACAGTAAACTGTTCGGGAGTTGTCGATTCCACTTGGAATTTCCTAATAGTTCTTGGACCCGGAGTTTGCAACAAAATGAGAACATTTATATCAAACCATTGCGGTTTTACTCGGAACGCACTTCAATGCATGCCAGTTCGACCGTTCCGGAACGCTAGTATCTGAAGTGATGACAGTTAAAGAAACGTGAGTGCTTTTCATTCCAACATGTCTGCAAATAAACGAGATTGTCCAACGGAATTTGGTGTAAAAGGAACAAGAACCATCAGCAAATTACATTTTACAAACATTTCCAAGTCCCACAAATGAAACTGTGATTGGGAAATAGAGAAAGGGTAAACAAAAGGTGAGTTTGCTCTTTCGGTAGTCTCTTTCTGTGTTGTGATATTGTTTTCAAAGGTGTCTAACTGCCTTCGTGGAAAGTGAGTTCATCATTTTCATGATCAGACCTTACCGAATTGTACCGCTTTGCTCACACACTAATTTAAAACACCGTCAGATTATCTGCACCATGCAGCACTTCTGTGTATTGTTTCCAAATTTGAGAGCTACCCATCATGACATCTTCAGTGTAGTACTAATGTGGTTATCGAATTTTTTCGTCCTTTTCCTTGGTTCTAACTAAACACCAAGGAAAAAATCGCAGTCAGGTTATTTCACATTTGTATCCAACAGAATTGGCTTACCAAATGAACGCGTGTAACTTACCGTTATTATTATTATTATTATTATTAACTTTATTATTATTATTTTGTCTACTTTGTTTTCTGTCATCTTTTCAGATTATTGGTTTGGTTTGAGTGTGTACAAAAGGAATAATAAATAAAATAAATCTTATGCACAAAAGTCGCATTTGAACTAACTACTCAAGCGAACAAAACTAAATGTTGTAGTTTACAATTTTCCGCCGCCATAATAATGGTGCTCTGAAAATCTGAAAAACAGTGCACAGCTTTGGATAGCTGTTTCGTCCTGTTTGGCACTAGTCGGGACTCGAACCGCGAATCTTCGGGTTGGGACTTCGCAATCGTTACCAATGAGCTACACGGTCGACGGTCATCACCTTGTGCGAATGACTCAATTAACTTAGACGGTGAATTTCGGGATTAGATCATCGGGAGTAACTGGTGCCTATGAAAACCGAATGGGCTAATCCAAACATTCTCCGTCTACAGTGCACAATTGCGTTAATCACACCGCATTTCACTCGAGAAACTGAGAAACCATACTAGCGAACAAATACTATTCTCGGCAGCCTTTTTCTCGAACAAACGTTTCAGATCATTGCACTAACATTTTTAGTTGAAATAACCTGGGTCGAGGACATCAAGCAATCGAGATCCGTTCTCCACAGTTTCGTTTTAACGTCTCCACCGGAACTGTCGTTGAATCGGTTTTATTCATCTTTTACTGTAGAAAGCAGTGTGATTTTCACCAACCACTTGTCTATAATCCAATCAGACTGGGATGAGAAACAATATTCAAACTCCTGCAAATGCCTTCTGCATCAAATAACTAAATGTGAGTGTGTGATAACACACGAAAAACAGTAATTTGGTACAAAGGATGGGATGCAACACGGAGTGCAGTTCATTAATCTTCCTCAGCCATTAGCGGATATCACAGCAAAAAATGGAGATCGAGACAATCAAGTGTGAAGTTATGACATCCTAAAGACTATAAATCCATGTAATTGTTTCATCATAAAAGAGAATCCAGCTACACTTTAGCACCTTCTATTTGATGACCCCAATTTCCGGTATTTCTCCCGTTAAATTCTTACGCGTGTTGTTTTTCCGTAGATGTTGATAGATCAGTATATCCAGTGTATATATTTTTCATCTGTCTAAGTGCCAGGAATAGATTGCAGTTCTCCATGACCGTTTGTGATTATTTTGCATTCGCTTTTAGAATAAATTATTTATGCCGGCGGCGATCATGCGGTTAAGCTCTCCATCCAATTGATCCGTAGTTCGTGAGTTCCAATCTCATTAACACTGCTTTAATCGAAATCTCCCCTTATTTATATAGCCAGTGTCCGGACGAACTCAGTCATCAACCTCCCGAAGGTTCATTATGTAAATGTGTTCCATAAAGATGAAGTAAAGTAATAATTAAAAATATATTCAGGAACGAGGTGTTCCATCACTCTTGTTTTTCGAAGTGCCTCGTATTCACAGAAATGTGTAATGCGAACAGCTAAAGTGAATGTCCTGTGCACCTTTTGGGGAATATTCCTTTCTTCTACTTTCTACCCTGTTGTGCGTAGCATAGAGCCAGTGGATTAGTCCACTGAAATGATCTGCTTTGTAATACAATCCTTTCACCTATCCCACATTAACAATCACAATTTCACTTTACCTGATCATCCCCTGTTGACCACTACTACCACATTAAGGAAGATTGGTTGAAAATTTACTCAACACTGAAACAAAGATCTTAAATTTATTGAACTTCATTGAAAAAAAGTCTACTATCTACTAAATAGTTTGTAGCTATCGTGCAACTTCAGGCCCCGGAATTGGCACTTGTGTGTGTGCATTGCATCTCATATTAGTGCGTTTTCCCTCTAGCAACACCCCACGGTGATTGTCTAATCACTCTGATTCAGTTTGCTCACATGAGCTTGTGAGAGCTTTGGAGCATGTGATATAATTCATCATTAGTCGCTAATAAAGCACGGAGAGATATTTAAAAGTTGACGTACAATTAATTTTCCTTTCATCATTTCATAACTTTATTCCTCTTTTGAAAACAAGCATTCAGTACTTGTTGATATCCTGAAAAACTTTTATTGCCATCACCACATTTGAATAAACCCGGAAAGACATCACAAGTGTTTTAAAGCTTCTCTCCATCAAAATCGTTAAAGGTTCCAGAATACTAAGATTAAATTATATACTTTTGAAAAAACATCATGTTTCTACGGTGATTGAATTGCTCTCACGTGTGGTCGAACATAAATGATAGAGATGCATGGCTATTCGGTGTTAATTCTTATTACACGTGTAAAACACACTGATCGGTAGAAACGGTCAAAGCACTAGGGGTCAGTGAAATCGTTATGATTTTCTTGTTTCTACGGATCTATTCACGCCCTGTTTTAATCTCGCTCCAACTGTTTTCTTTACGGAATAAAAGCGAAATGTAGCTGGGAATGTGTTTAATTTTGTATCCAATGGACACGTTCCATGAGGAGTTTCAATCTACGAGTATGGATTCAACAGGTTATCTTAAAACAACAGTATCTTCAAACATTACACCTTTTATGAGTAAATGACTTATTTTGGAATATGTCTCGATTCCCCCGTCATGTCTTTAGACTACAGTGATTCAGCATTCATCTTAGTGTATATTCTGCACAAAGAGGTTGATGCTTGTTTTAATGAATAAAAATGGAGCTTCCGTGTATCATATA